CACAGAAAATATCTATCTATCTATCTATCTATCTATCTATCTATCTATCTATCTATCTATCTATCTATCTATCACAAAACTAATCTCTAATCCACCCAAGATGGTATCATGGCTCAATTGCCCTCCCAAAGAGGGCTCTACATGGGGCTGCCTTTAAAGACCACTTAGAAGGTGCAGCAGCCCATATGTTTAGCGTTCACCGATGGGAACACACTAACCAGTGCTGTGGATCCTGCACTGGTTCCCAGTAGGCTTCTAGGTGCAATTCAAAGTGCTGGTGCTGACCTAAAAAGCCCTAGGTGACTTGACACCAAGTTATCTGCTCAACCACATACTCCCACCGACGTTTGTAAAGAAGCAATGGGAACTGTAGTTCAACATGAGGGCTTTGAGCTCTCGCAGAAAAGGTGGGAAGTACATGCCATAAATAATACAGGCACAAGGCTATGCTAACCGTTCTGAAAAACTGAAGTGAAAAAAACTTTGGAGTTAGATGATCCAGTTTTCACATGTAGCAGCTACCAGTTCTTCCTGATTTCATAAAAAGCTGGCAGGGCACAGTGCTGACTAACAAAGAGATTCAGCCACTCATGAACTTAAAAGTGCAAAATAAATGTTAGATAAAGCAAGAGTGCTAGTTAGATGGTTTTTGGGGCAAGGTGGGAGAAGTAAAATTCATAGCAGTAAACCAATATACTATCTGTGCATCCTCCGTATTCGGTTTCAGCTTTCCACAACCTGTGTTTTTCATAGTTGACCACTGCTGAAAGAATGGTGGGAATTGGATTCAGTTTTACCCAGAGAGCATTTAATTGGGGAAAGTTCCTCTAATTTGTTTTTTTAAGAAACTGAAAGTAAGACTATTAGAGCTAGAACCACTTTCACTGAACTTTCTTCTAACAGAAAAAGAAAATCAGATTAAACAGCTTACTGTATTTTTATTATAAAATATTAGAAGTAGATGGTTTACCCTTTCTTTCAAAAAATGAATTTAATAGGTCAGCACAGTGTTTAAATTGTGTCCTATACATATTTACTTGGAAATTAGTTCTATTTTCAGACTTTGAATAAACACACAATATAATTAGGACATGTATTTACTATGAATGTAATTCTAGAGAAGTCTATTCAGAAGTAAGCTTTGTTGGCTAGAACTTATTTCTAGCTAAATCTATACAGTATTGCTGCCTGGAATTTTAATTCTGCAATCCTATAGACATGTTTAACGTTCTTGGTGTTAAAGACAAAGTGAAAATCAAACATCTGGATAAGTATGTAGAGTTGTCCTAAAATGTGAGTTAAAGTACAACCATAAACATAGTTATTATCCTTTATGTACCATTTCTGTACCATCTAGCCAAAAAAGGGAAAAATATTACTACACATAAATCTTGCAGAGACATAAGTGTTTACATGCATGCATGATAAGTTGACACATGATATGTGGTCATCTGTATTCACCCAGGAAACAGATGATAATAAGTTGCCTCAGCAACTACAATAAAGTTTCCTCCTCAGGATCATATTCATATGATAAAATCATACTGTATTCCTCAGCATTGGAAGCTCAAGAAAAAAAAGAATAAAGCCATAGGACAGCATGGGGAAGTGATAATGTGCATCCTGAAGAACAGGCTGTTTCTAATAAACATGGAAAATCATGTGTTTCTGTTGTTAGAAGCAAATCTAAGGACCTTTGGAATCAATCTTACTAAATGTTCTTAAGTGCAATGGATCTTCAAACAAATCAACCCAGAGTTCTCACTCGAGGCATAAATGACCAGGCTCAAATGATCCTACTTTGGACACATTATGTGAAGATCCAGCTTTCTGAAAAAGACTCTAATGCTGGGAAAGGTGAAAGGAAGAGAAGAAGAGGACAACCAGCAGCAAGGTGGATAGACTCAGTTATAGTGGTGGTGAATGCACTGTTGGGAGACCTGATAGAATAGGTTAGGGACAGATCATCATGGAGAAAATCTGTGTGGTTGCTAAGAGTCAACAATGACTTGGCACATAATCAATCAAGTGCAATGTTAGAGAATAAGTTTTTTTTTTAAATGTTAAAAGGTCTATGCAAAATTGAACATTGTTTGACATGGTTGTTGACTGGCACAGGAAACTTAATAATGTGCTGTCATGCAGGCTAATAAATGACACTAAGTTTCTATAAATTAAAGACAATACCTGTCAGAAAACTAAAAAGTAATGCAAACTCTGCTAGAATTTTTGGAATATTTTGTAATGAAACAACTTACAACT